TTATTATTTTTCCAAAGTGCAACTTACCTGTGCTAGCAATGCTCACAAGTACGATTATAATCCACGTTACAACACTTGCCATTAAATGAAAGATGGCTATTGTAAAGAGTGATAAAACTGGAAGAAAACAATTAGCTAAGTATACCCCATGTACAGCTTGTACGCATATATTATAGTAATATGCTGTGAATTCCTACCACAGGCGAGAAAAGATAGCGCCAGAATTTGCCTCCAGGTTTTACACAGGTCTCCCAAAACCTGTTCGATGACATCCCACGAATTGATTAAGCCGTATAAATTTGAGATTATCACTTCGCTCACTTCCTTCACCATTTTAGGGATACACCGGTTTAAAACAGACGTGCTGGGGTAAACCGGTCGCTCGGGGCAAGATCCGTTCTTGAATATGCTACTCTTGCTGTTGCACGCGCTGAAATCACCGCCTGGACGATCGTGGCACAACTGCGACCCCGTCTCTTTGTAAAATTTACAGATGTCCTCCATCGTCGACAACATTCTGTCGGGGCATTTCTTCACACAGATCTTCAGTGACTGCGTGACATTGTATATATCCAGGAAGAATAAATATCTGGAATGTGACATAACATCTATTTTCAGAAATATTATCACAGGCGTGGACGGTCTGAATAAATTAGGAGAAAATGTATATGACTGACGGCTTCTCGCTGGTGTCTTGTCCAGAAAGCTCCATGTTGCCGAACTTTGGATTGTTCTTCACGCCGCATGTGTTTCCAAAACTGTCGTATCCATGTATGAGCCGCAAAGGATTGCCATAAACTATCGCAAAGGCGGCAATCAGAATCTGTAAGCAAATAAATTGTCGCATTAGATTGAACTCTAAGAGTTTTACAAAAACGAGGAAGATGCATCTTTCTCAATGGAAAATGCTGTCTAAAATTATCAAATTGTCATACACTGTAGATCAAAAGTTTGGAAACGCAGATAAAAATACAGATAAATTATATGACTCAATGGAAATACTGTCTAAAGTTATATATCAAATTGTCATACACTGTAGATCAAGTTTGAAAACGCAGATAAAAATGCAGATAAATTATATGATGCACAACACTGATAAAAAACGCAGATAAACTATATTTCTGG